TTCCAAAGTGAAACACTTGGTATCAGTGAACAAGATTCCTGTAAGAAAATGACCACTGACATTGTTACAGATAATGTGGCAAACTCCTTCCCAGGACAGAAAATTGTCTCAAAGATCCAGCATGACACTAAGGCAGAACAACATGAAGAAACAAGCAGCCCAGAAAGCATTGACCCTGACAGCTCCGTTTCTGAGCCTACAGATAGCTTTGTGGAGTTCATGCGAGAGTGCCTGAAATCGAGGCAGGATGAAGAACCTGACAACATGCACCAAGGTGTTCCACCTAAGAATGAGTTCGGCAACACTGGTTTGCCTCCTTCCCAGTCCCCTCCAACCATGGTGATGGATCTTGAACAAGAACAGCTTACCATCAGTGCTCTCAAAGAGCTGGGCAGCAGTCAAGACGAGGAGGTCGAAGCAGCGTCTCTCCAGACGAAAGTTCCTGAAGAGGACAAAGCTAACCCCAATGCACCATCTATACAGCAGTCTTCCTTTACCTCAGTTTCTAATCCTCCATGTTCCCAAAGCAATCGTGTGTTCGACAGCACGTATTCCAAAGAGGTAGAAGCCATCGACGAATGGGTGGCTGAAGCTTATCATCTAGCTGAGCATGTCTTGACAGCAATACTAACCCACTTGTCAGGTAATACCTTTCTTCTGGGCAGTAGGCCTGCTAACCTCATGCAGTCACCTCAGAAGAACCCCTTTTCTCACTTGCACCTTGTAACTGCCTGCTCCTTTTCAAAAAATAGTTATTTTGCTTACATATCATGGCATGAAAAGCCATGATTGCAGACTGGCCTCTTCCCAGCCATCTCCTTGTTTTAGGCTGTGGAGTATAGCCTGCTGATATAGTAGCCTGTCAGTAAGGAGGTATACTAGGAGGGCATGAAGGCCTTAATATGCTTCCAATGAACTAGGTTTGATTTCAAAAGTGTTTAACTGTTCTTAAAGGCCACAGTCTTTCATATAGTTATTATGAAGGTATTCAACTTGAAGGCTTCAGAGGGATTCCCCTTTTCTGTACATGCGAAAAGTGAAAAGTAATTGTATAAAGAAGGAAAAAGATACAAACACAAAACTTCCCAGAAATTGCCAGTGTTTTAGTGTCTGTTGGTTCACAAGCAATACATTTGTCCTGTCACTGATTTCTGTTGAGTTTGTCTACTTACCCAATCCCATTCCTCACATGCATAATCTGCCATTTGTCTTTGTCTTTGTTGGTTCACCCAACCAAGCCAAAGTCACATTATCAAGGCACAATAGAATATCTACTGGAGGTTCAGATTAGATGCTTCTTAGAGTAGCACAATGTCTTCTCTCCTCAGTACAGTACTCTACTTCTATTTTTTTTGTTACTTATTGACCAACAAATGCGCTAATACCTACATTTATGTAAAAAGCAAACATCTGCCGGCAATATTTGCTGTTAATTTGGTAGATGAGACTCTGAAAAGAACTGTTTTGAGACCGGGCCACTGTTTTGGCATGCACTAACAAAGCCCATAGTATAGTGCAAATTATTACAGCACGATGGCACGTGTGCGGCCTCAAATGCCGAAAAGCAGTCTGGTAATCAGAGCAGGTCTTCTTGTGTCAGAATGTCTAAATGCCTGATGCAATAAGGAATACCAGACACAGCCCCCCTGGGAGAGACATATACCTCTCAATGTCTAAGGACACAACCTTTGGCTTTACATGTAATGCTCAATGGCACTCGAAGTTATGACGATAATGATATCATTGGACATTATATTGCCCACCTCCCGTGACATGTTTGAGGAGATTGTGTTGAGTAGGTAATTGCATATTGTCGCTGTCTAGCAGAAACCTTGTCCATAACTTCTCTGGAAATGGGAAGAAAACCTTGTGTTTTTGAAATAATCGAACACTGATTGTCAAAGTTGGTACTGGTGGTTTTAATACTTTATACATCTATTGAACTGCAAAAGGTCATAGGGGCTTGTTTGGGAGTATACTAAACCTGTAGAGACTGCAGTTGTCAGAGATTGTAGCAGCCAAACCACAGTGTAGTGTCCTATATGGACACTAAGGCTACATATGGTCTGGTGATCCCCACTCCATTCAAGCCTTTGACCCTCTCCTGCCCTCTGTCCTTTACAGCCGGGCAGTGGTCCATTGACAGAGAGTGGGTGGGGGTTTAAATATGGTGCACAAGTGTTGGCTTGCAAGAACCTTGGAAGTCACGGGTTACAGTCAATCCCCAGTGTCAAGTTTCTGCCTTTCCACAGCTCACTCTGTGAAGATCATGACACGATGACAAGGCGTGGTGCAAAAACTTAATGCATATCTTAAGGCCACTAAGGTGCAAATTATTTAGGTGCCGTAATTCATTCTCGGGTTTCAGGCAAGATGCCATCAAATTGGTTTGCTGCCAGGTCTTTCAGCCTTCGCTTGTCCAATCCTCTCTTCATCCTGGTCCAGCCATCCCTTTTCCTCAAAAAGTTTGAATATGAAGGTTGCTAAATACCAGCCTGTTTCCATGCATCAAAGTTTCTTAAAAGGTGTTATTTTTCAGGAGTAACAGCAGGCAGGTCTGCAGTACCCTCCCGTCTTTGCAAACATGATCTCCATTCCACAAACATATGCACAGAGGCTGGTATGCAGACAGTAATCCTAATGCATTCAGCGCTCCGTCTACATGTGTTGAATACTTTAACCTAGAGTTGGCACACCAGAGAACAGAGTGCTGGTGTTCTAGCAACCAGAAACTAGGGGAAAGTGTGCAGAAGAGGTGCAAAGGGAAAGCCAGTCAGTTAAGCCTAATTTTAAAGTTATTATGTTCAGTGTTCTGTGAAGCTTGTTATCAGTGCACATAATGTGATTGTTTCCTAATTGTGATATTAATAACCTGGTGTTAAAGAGGAAGCTCTGTTTTGTGTGGTGTTCTGTAGAGGAGCCTGTGTTGTTGAATCCTCCCCCTCCAGCCATGAGCTTGTGCTATTTTAGTGTTTCTCTGCAGTGCTGCTCCACAACTCAGTAGGTTATTAGGCGGGGTACATTTGGCTAGGTGAGTTTGTTTCAATTGGAGTGCCTGTTGTCATGCTGGATATGCTTGACATTAGCCCCATTGCTATACAGGTTTTATGTAAAAGAATCCCTCTTAAAAAAATATATTCAATTTCAGCTTAAAGTGACTGCATTTCTTTGTGGGCTAGTTCTAATTCCAGACCTGTTGTCAGGGCTTGGAAGATTAGTTTAAATCAAGCTGTCCATTTCTGTTCAGATTTGTGTTAATCCTCTGTGTGAAGATTTGTAAAGCGGAGGTGAGGCACATGTAAATACCTGAATCAAACTGAACCTGGATCAGATCAGAGTTTGATTAAGCTATCTGGCATGGACCTGTAATGTCTTGTTTGTTACGGTTATTATCTTGTTTTTAGTCAGAGCCAATAGCTTCTGTTTGGATTTGTAATGGGGTCACATAAAAAATAGAGTAAATGGGTGTAATGGTTTGTCTTACTGCCAGTACAGAAAGTTCCTCGTAGAGGCTTTAATTACATTCCTATTAAATTAAGTCCTGTAAGGTGTTAGCAAACATCTTTTACACTTTTCTGCTCATTTATAATGGCAGTGGAAGGTTGTGTGTGTGTGTGTGT